GAGTGTGCAGTTGCCATTTGCAGGAGGGGTGGGTGGACGAGGAGGAGCGGGGAACCCGCTTCTAGGTATTTCCCGCAGGAGCGCTGCTCTGAGAACCGCTCCCTCTTACTGGAGATGGGTGGCTGACAGTTTCTTGGGGCAGGGGTTTGTGGTTTCCATATCCGCAATTCTGGATGCCGGATTTGAACGCCAGCACCTGGGCGTGTGGGTGCCCCGGACAGTCTGCTGGCCCGATGCTGGCTGGCGAAGGCAGGCGTCCTGGTGCCCACCCTGGGGGTTCCTGCTTCGTGTGAGGCTGCTCTGGGGAGCCAGGGCTCGGCGTGGCACCCTGGCCACAGCTGGGTCCACACAGGGTGCGGACAGCCCAAGTCCAGCTCTCTCCCGCCTCCGAGAGTGTAGGTGGTCCCTCATTTCCCGGATGTGGTGCTACCTGCCTGGTCTTGGTTTATGGATCTTTGTGTAAGTCACGGGTGTCACCAGCTGGGATCCCTTCTCACACTCTGGGCTGTGAGTGTGGCCTGCAGAGGCCGCGAGACCTGGGGCTAATGAGCTTAATTTATTTTTTTAAGATTTACTTATTTGAAAGGCAGAGAGAGAGAGAGAGGGAGAGAGGGATCTTCTATCTGCTGGCTCGCTCCCCAGATGACCGCATCGGCTAGGCCTGGGCCAGGCCAAAGCCAGGAGTTTGCAACTCCCAGATCTCCACTTGGGTGGCAGGGGCCAAGCCCCTGGGCCATCCTCCACTTCTCTCCCAGGTGCATTAGCAGGGAGCTGGATCGGAAGTAGAGCAGCCGGGTCTCAAAGCAGTGCCCACGTGGGATGCTGACGTCACAGGGTGGCACTTTCACCTGCCACACCACAACCCTGGCCCCAAATGAGCGGATCCTGATACTCGGCCTTCTGTTCTGGAGAGTGGCTACTCACACACACTCGCTGTGTCCTGAGATTAGAGAGTGGAGACCGCGGAGTACCGCCCCACACCCAGCGTGCGCTCTGCACTGGGTCTGGGGAGACCGGGCCAGAAGCTGACGTAAAAACCTCTTTCTGCTACGGATTTAGCTTCTGGAGCTGGGAGCGAGCCCCGAGCGTCACGGAGTTGGGTGCCTTCTGTGTTTCTGGGGTGGAGGTCGCTTGTTCTGGCAGGGGGTGGCCGTGCCGTTGGTGATCGCCCGGGGTCCCCGGTGAGAGTGCCAGTGCCCACGTCCCAGCATGCTCGGGAGGAGCACCGGCCTTGCCACGGCTCCACCGAGCCTCCTGGGGTTAGGTCAGAGCTCATCCTTGGCCTCTGGGCTTTGTCCCCACCGTGGCTGTGTCCTTCCCCTTGTTTTGGGTCCCTCTCGCCTGTGACCCCAGCCTTAGCACCAAGAGACAAGGGGGACAGGGTGGGCTGCAAAGCCCCAGGCCACACAGGGCCTGATTCACAGTATCCCCCCAACCCCCGCACCCCGCGGCTGGGGACGCCTGTGAGTGACCTAGCACGACACAGGCTGGGCGTCTTCCGTTCCGCCCGTGCGCCACACCACAGCCCCAGAGGCCCACACCGAGGAAGCGGGTGGGGAGCCGCCGGGCGGATGTAGTGCTCACCATGCGTGCAGGAACGCGGCAGCGGCCACACGGGGTTTGCGGGATCTGACCAGCAGTTGTCCCCTTGGCCTGGAGCAGCCGGATGCAAAAGGCGGCAGCTCCCTGGGGCCGTCCCACTTGAGTGACGCAGGGGCTGGGGCAGGGCCTCCTGCAGGCCCCTGTGTGCTCTGTAGGGGGCGCGACAAACCTCTGGTGGACGCTCTGCTCGGGCTGGGTTGCAAAACAAGCAGGCCTAGGCTGCTCTTACGGAACGGCTCTGGGCAGCCCCTGCGGCTCTGGCTGGTGTGAGGCAGGGGCTGAGCCAGCAGGGGGCGCGCTCCCATCCCGGACATGGGTTCCTGAGAGACCTCTCTACACGGCCCCGCCCGCCAGTCTTTCCCTGTGACGAAGAGGTGTCAGGAGCTGCCCTGAGAGCCAGGTGGGCAGTCAGAACCCAGGCTGTGGCTAAGGGCCTCACTGCACGCTCTCCCTCCTCCCTGGCAGGTGAAAAACAGTTTTTTAAGGATGAATTGCAGTTGTTGTTGGAATCATTGAAGTGTGTACTCTGCTTAAATCTGATTTTAATAAAAAATTTAAAAAGACTATTTGAAAGGTGGTTACAGACAGAGAGTGGGGGGGGGGGAGACAGACAGACAGACAGACAGACATGGAGAAGGGGGAGAGAGGGTGAGAGAGATCTTCCACGTGCTGGCTCACTCCCTAATGGCCAGGACTGGGTCAGGCTGAAGCCAGGAGCTTCTTCTGGGTCTTCCATGTGGGTTCAGGGCCCAAGCACTTGGGTCATCTCCCCATGCTTTCCCAGGAGCAGTAGCAGGGAGCTGGATGGGAAGTGGAGCAGTGCTCACATGGGATGCTGGCGACGCAGGTGGTGGCCTACCCGGCGGCACCGATGCCAGCCCTAAATCTGATGGCTTTAATCGTGCGTGGTCTAACCCCTGGAGATGGGGAGGGTGAGTGCAGCACACGACCAGAAACCCAGCCAGCCCAGTGCCTGCCACACGGTAACCTCGGGCACGCTCTGCGGCTCAGAGGGGCCGCGTCACTCAGCCGAAGCTCCGAGGGGCTGTGCGGGGGAGATGGGGCACTCGCCTTCCTACCGGTCACGTGACCATCTCCCCGGGACTTAAATGCCACGGCTGGCTGCCAACGGGGCTTTTGGGGCTCTGTTGGCGGACACGGAATTCCTGTTCCCTGGTTCCTTTAACCCAGTTTTGGCGATGAATGGCTTGGTCAAACACTGGGTTATCCCCTCCCAGTCCCCACCCTTTGCACCCCACATGGCAGGAAACTTAATTCTCCCATGGCCAATCCCCCCGCCCTGCCCTGTGAGGGCCTGCGGGAGACCCACAGGCCACGTGGGCCTTGGGGGCGGGAGTGCAGGTGGCTCGGGAAAGGGCCCGGGGCTCCGGGCTGCCAGGGGAGGGCTTGGCAGGCAGGCAGGCAGGCAGGCAGCCCAGGTCTCCAGTGGTGAGGTGCAAGTGCTGAAGCTGTGTGTGTGTGTGTGTGTGTGTGCGCGCGGGCTCGTGCGTGCTGGCTGCGGGCAGGGTTAGGAGGCCGGGACCAGACTCTCGGGCAAGGAACCAGCACTCGTGTCCCTGGCTCGCCATCCTGGCCATCGTCGCCCTCTTCCCGTCTTTACTCTCCATGCGGTGAGGGCCCCTCGGTCCCAGCTGCTCCCCCAGCCCCCTCCTGAGGCGCTGGTGATCACGCTGCATCCATTTTGGGGCCCTCAGGGCCTGTGTGTGCCCGCAGGCCAGGCTGTGTCCCACAGGTTCCGCTCCCACAGGGTGGCAGGAGGCCTCGGCGCCGCCCGCGTGCTCATTACGCCAAGGCCAAGCGCTGGACGGCACCGGGGCGGGAGGCTTGGCCGAGGATCCGGGCGAGCGGGCTTCCCTCCCCTTCTGGGCTGCGGATGGGATCAGTGGCCTCGCTCCCTTCGGCTGTTGTCTACACTTGCTGAGAGGACGCCGACCCGTGTCTGCCCGGAGCCTGGGGCTTCTACACCTTCTTGGAGTTGGTACCTCCAGTCCTGCCCTGGGGGATGCAGGGGCGGCCACGCATAGAAGGCTGTGGATTCCACTCTCAGTGTGGGATCACCGGTGCCACCCCAGCCTCCTCAAGAGTCAAGGGCGCTAAAGCAACCCCTGCAGAGACCCTGGGAGGGTTGGTTTGCCCATGTGGGCCTAGTTCCCAACAGAGGCACTGGAACATGACACCACGACTGATGAGCGGGAAAGCGCTCCGGGTTCCACGGGTCCGCTGAGGTCGTCACAAGCGGGGGGTGGGGGTTGGAGGGGTGGGGCTCTGCCCATGGAGCCTTGTCGAGAGCAGGCCGCACGTGGCACGGGAATAGGAATCGGTTCTGGGTTAAACCAAAGTCCTAGCTGGCTGATCCCTGGTTCCGGGTCTGCAGCAACGCCCACAGCTGTGTTGGGAGCGGCCGCTCCTGAAGTGGCCTCACAGCTGGTAAGGGCCAGCGAGCTCCTGCTTTGGTGACCAGCAGCACGGCTACGCTCGTGGGCTCGGAGGTCAGCGTGCGGCCTCACGGGACAGTCGCCGCCCAGCTCGCAGGCTAACTCGGCTGTTCCACCAAAGCGCATGCTGGCCCCTACAGAAGCAACCCAGACGTGGCCTCCACCCCCAGGTCCCCTCCCCGGGCAGCTGTGTCGCCATCTTGGGCAGAAGAGGCACCTGCTGGGAGAGGGGTGGAGCGGGCAGGCTGCGGGGAGCGCTGTGTCCCGCGTCGTCAGCGCCGTCACGTGTCCTGTGCGGGCGCCAGAGCTGCTGCGTGCCCTGGGAGGAGCCGCGCCCGCGGGCCGGCGCTCAACACCACCCAACCTGGAGTCCGCAAGCTGGCAGGCAGCGTGGGTCTGTGAGAACGGGGCTTGCACGGCAGTGCCCCTCGCCCCGTCAGGACTGGCTGCTGTGGCTGGGCCGAGGCGAGGGCGCCCGTGGTCCTTCGGCTGGCTTCCAGAGCCTGCTCCCGGGGCTCCAAGGACTTGCGGCCGGAACGCAGTCACAGCCACAAGCCTGGTGTGGTCCCTCCCCCCAGACCTGTCCAGATGCAGGGGTGACAGATGACGCTCCTGTCTGGATTTAATGATTTCTGAAAACACAGAACCATCACCAGGACTACATCCTCTGCCTGCTCCTGGCACTTGCCCTCCGTCCCGGTCGCTAGGGGGCGCCCTCCCCTTCCCCATTAGCCACATGTGTCCTTGGGGCCTGTGTTCTGCAGGCTGCCGAGCGTGGTCTCATTCACGGTGTCCACACGCGCTCCCCACAGACGCTGAGCCACAGGTAACGTCTGCAGCCGGGCAGGGTCTGCCCCCCCCCCCAACAGGTGGAACAGGGAGGAGGGGCCTGGGAGCTCGGTTAGGTAGCAGCAACCAGAAGTAAGTGAAGATGATGTGACAAAGGCTGCAAGGAGTCTTTTATTTAAAAAAACAAAAAACAAAAAACCCAAACCCTCAGCAGGATTTGAAGGCGACAACAAAGGAATCGAACACCCTGACGGCATCCGGCTCCGCTGGCGACACCACGCGTCAGGCTGGGAGCGGCCGCCGGGCGGGGACACTGGGGAGACACGCGGACCCTTCTGCCTCTGCTGTCCAGTGTCCTCAGGTCACTTCCGGTGTCCGGCTGCCAGGCCGGGGGCTGCCATGGTGCCGCTGGGCTCGCCACGACCCCGGGACGGAGCAGGGGAGAAGGCATGGCAGGTGCTCCCGAACCCGCCGTCACCACAGGTAAACCACGACCAGAACCACAGCACGGACAGGACTGCGTTGCTTTTTTCCTTTTTTTTTCCTTCTTAAAGGAGTGAGGGCATGGAAAATACAGCACACCAATGAAACAAAATGCCAAAAAAAATACAAAAAAATATAAAATAGAAAAATGTATTTACAAGTAGTACATTACTATGATCAGAAGCACAAAGACACCTGCTGCTATCGTACATGCATTGGTTCAAGAAGAAAACTACTTAAAACCCTGCGAGGAGAAGCTGTGAAAGAAAACAAGGGGAGGCGGGCAGGCAGCTGAACGTCTCATCCCTAATCTGCTACGCTGACCGGAGCCATGGGAGAGTCCCTGGGGTCCCGAGTCAGTCCAGGGCAGGCCGGCGGCGGGGACGCGGGGACGGCTCGGCATGCTCCTAGCTATCTATGCGCGTGTATATATAGGTCTGTATAAAAACCGTGCCCTGTTCACTGCCAACACGACATCTGGGTGGACGTGAACTCGTTACAACACGTTTCTGCATATGCTGTAAGAAGTCACTCAACATCTGTGGATTTAATAAGTCACTTCACACCACAGAGAATATTTAATAAATCCAAAAAAAGGAAAAGTAGAATATAACGACAGCAGAGCTTCTGTCTAGGTCTCTGAAACGGAGTCCCCACAGGAAGCTGGTCCCTGAAGCAGCTTCGGTCTGCTCGCTCTCCATCTGTAGTGTTCGCAAGTTCCAGAACGACGCCACGCCGTGTCCGGTTTTTAGAGTCAACTCTCGGCTCCCCCACAAGGTAAGTCTGGTGCAGATCCGTAAAAAGGGGGGTGGGGAGCGCTGGGAGGGCCTGTGGCTCCCGCAGGGCTCTGCCTCTCGGCGGCAGGAAGAGCAGCCCGGCGGGCTCCCCCTCTCCCCAGCCGCCGGGCTCCTTTCAGTGCGAAAGCCAGGCCTGTCAGTTCCTGAAGCAGGCGTGTCTGAGTACCAGGCCAGCTCTAAGAGGAGACAAAACCACACGCTGAGAAAAGGACTAGGGTGGCCATCTGGTCAACTTCTCTGCGACCCATCATACTTCCAGGAAGCGTGAGCTGCTGGACTTGGAGTGGAATGGCTCAGACCACATCCGCCGGAGGTCACCCTGGAAAAGAAGGGACTTACTAAGGCACGGGCGGAGCACGAGGCACCCTGGCCCCGGGATTTCAGTGACTGAACCCACGAGCAGCTGTTTGAGTGGGCTAACTCCTCAGGATTTCCTGCCAGTGGCACCAGGTGAGCACACAAAGGACACAGGCTAAGGTCAAGGGCTCGGCCACGCCGGGGTTGCCGGGGTTTCTGACGGCTGTTCTCACCTTCAAGTAGGCCATGGTGAGCAGCGGCAGGAGGGTAAAGGGCACCAGGTAGAGGAGGGCGGGCTGCGCGGCTCGGTGAATGCGAGACGCCACCGTGGCGGTGAGCAGACCTGGGGAGAGAGACATCGGTGAGTGCTCTGGGGACCGGCCCGAGACGGGAGATGGAGAGTGAACCACTCCACTCGAGATGCTGTTAGAGAAACGCGGAGCAGCACAGCTTACAGACCACAGTGTGAGAGACCCGGGACCGTTCCTGGGTCAGCCCTCCTCCCCTTCAGCCCGGTGTGCCGGTCTTGTCTCCTGGGCCGCGCGGCACTGGACTTGGGGGTCAGAGATCAGGTTTAATCCCCACTTAGAGCTATGCGGCCTCTGCTCGGGTGTCTTGGCTTGCTCACCTGCCCAGCGGGGATGTTGCCTCGTGCCCTGCCTGTCTGAAATGAACGCGTGTACATAAAACACTACAGCTGGGTCAAGTGCTGATGATGAGTAGGAACTGGAGGTGAGGGAAGCACTATACCTGTCTGCCCGTGACAGCTGGCTACAGCTCACCAAGGGCTGGTGCTGTGGCACAGTGGGTTACGCTGCTGCCTGCAATGTCAGCATCCCATATGGGCACTGGCTCACGTCCGAGATACTCCACTTGGGATCCAGCTCCCTGCTATCGTGCCTGGGCCCTTCCACCCCTATGGGATGGAAGGAGTTCCAGGTCTTTAGATTCAGCCTGGCTCAGCCCTGGCTGTTGCAGCCATCTGGGAAGTGTACCAGCAGATGGAAAATCTATCTCTCCCTCTCTCTGTAACTCTTTATTACTACCACTACTACTATTTTTTAGATTTTTATTTATTTGAGAGTTAGAGTTATGGACAGAGAGGGAGGCACAGAGAGAAAGGTCTTCCATCTGCTGGTTCACTTCCCAAATGGCTGCAATGGCTTAGCTGGGCCAATCTGAAGCCAGGAGCTTCTTCATGGTCTCCCATGCAGGTGCAGGGGCCCGAACACTTGAGACATCTTCTGCTTTCCCAGGTCAGAGCAGAGAGCTGGGATTCAAACCAGTGCCCATATGGGATGCCGGCAATGCTAGCCCCATCTCTAACTCTTCTCTCAAAAAGATTTATTAGAAAGAAGCAGAGAGACAGAGAGTCTTCCATCTGCTGGTTCACTCCCTAATTGGCTGCAATGGCCAGAGCTGCACTGATCCAAAGCCAGGAGCTTCCTCCAGGTCTTCCTGCGTGAGTGCAGGGGCCCAAGGATTTGGGCCATCTTCCACTGCTTTCCCAGGCCACAGCAGAGGGCTGGATCAGAAGTGGAGCAGCCAGGACTCAAACTGGCGCCCATATGGGATGCCGGCATTGCAGGCAGTAGCTTTACCCACTATGCCATAATATTGGCCCCTCTAATAAATCTAACACACACACAAAACTCAACAGTAGCTGAGCCTAATAGGTCAGCAGTGGCAGGCATGTCAGAGCTCTGCTCATTAACGTGGGAAATACACATACATCCGACCCAGTGGCAGACGCACGCAGAGACCAGTCCACAAGTGTGTGTGGAATGCGTTCTTGGCTCTGAGCCTGACAGTGGGAAATGCTTGTGGAAAATGTAACAAAAAAATAGTTTTGGGGCCCAGTGCTGTGGCGTAGTGAGCTAAGCCTCTGCCTGCGGTGCCTGTATCCCAAATGGGCACCGGTTCAAGTCCCAACTGCTCCTCTTCCGATCCAGCTCTCTGCTGTGGCCTGGGAAAGCAGTAGAAGATGGCCCAAGTCCTTGGTTCCCTGCACCTGTGTGGGAGACCCGGAAGCTCCTGATTCTTGGCTTCGGCTCAGCCCAGCTCCAGCCATTGCAGCCATCTGGGGAATGAACCAGTGGACAGAAGACCTTTTTCTGTTTCTCCCTCTCTCGACATGTCTGTAACTCTACCTCCCAAATAAATCTTTACAAAAATGATTTTGGTCCAAGTAGATTTTGAAATTCATGTGGTTTCTCATAATACACGTTTCCCACGAACTTTCTGAAGACCACCCAGTATGCATGGATTAAAAAAAGTAATTTTCTTCTGCACAAGATCAACTTTCTGAAACGTCTCGTGTCTCGTGACACTGGAGGGAGGGCACCTGCCAGCCCGCGGGCCCAGGACAGTTCGTGCTGTGACAGCACCGGAGCCTCTCTTACCTACAAAGTAGCCGATGAGGGTGCAGTGGAAGTAGGAGACCTTCTGCATGCGCCCGGAGATGTTGGCGGGTCCCGCCGCGCTGCAGGAGTCGCCGCTCGCCTGCTTCTTGTAGTTGTCGTAGCGGAGGACGAAGCAGAGCAGGAGGCCTGGCATCACGATGTCGCCGATGCCCAACATGGAGAAGTGACTGCCTGTGGAGCTGCAGTGCGGGCCGCAGGTTAGAGCAGCAGTCGCGTCTCTCTCTAAAGCATCCTCGGGGAGAGGCGGTTTTCTTGTTTGAGACTAGAAGCTGCACAGGTTCGGGCCCCTCAGGGTTCCAGGGCTGCACGCCCCACCCCCAGCGGGTTTGTGACAGCCATGGGCGAGGCTGCACACGAGTACCTGACCACCACCAGGCAGGACACGATTCTGCCAGGACTGGACCCCACAAGTGCACGACCTGCTTACAAACGCCTCGGAAGAGGGACGAGCCAGACCCTCCTGTTAACTCCCTTCAGCCCGCTGCGGTGGCCTGAGACCCTTAACTGCCAGTGAAGCGCAGCCCGTGCGAGCACCCAGTGTAAGTCCCGGTGAGCCGGGTCAGTGCTCCCGTCTCTCCTCGTCTGCGCAGTGAGGACGACGCGACCCTTTCCAGGCTGTGACCGCAGTGCTGCTGACAGAGACGGCCTGGTCGAGCCGAGGCCTAGGCCGGGCGGTTTGTCCTACCTTGGGAAGACCAGTTTTCCAGGCAAAGACAGGCGAGGGACATCACGCCCAACGTTGGGCCCCAGATGCAGCTTCCGGGATAGAACGTCAAGAGGATTGTCGGCTGGCTGCGTGGCCACCTTCACCATGACGTTGCTATTGAAGATATAGGCTGAGAAAAACACCTGCCAGGGTGGAGAGAGGCCTTTAACAGAGGCAGCTGGGAGCTGGTGGCTCACAGCACGCTTTCAGAAGCCATCGTCTGCTGTCGGCATGCACTGCACTTCTGAACCCCACCCTTCCCAGCGGAGCTGCGCATGCTCCCTGGTGGCCTAAAGACCCCCAGCACACATGCGTGTTTCAGACTGTTCATGGCTGGAGGGAGACTCTGGATACTAACAGCCAACAGTTTTCAAGAGCAAACGCTTCAATTAAACAAAGGAGAACAGGGGCTTAGTGGGAAACAGACACTTACCCAAAACACATCATAGATGAGAAGCCCTGAGAGAAGCAGGCAGGAGACCTTGAGGCTCGGCAGGCGGACGAAGGCGATCATGGCGACACAGAGACCCATGGCCAGAGCTGGGGAGGAGACAGCACGGGCCACAGTCAGTGTGGACTACAGGCCTCTCCTCTTTCGTGAGCTGGTCAGCTCGTCAACCTCGCAATGCTTCCAATCGCTTCAAGAGTTCCAGTTTAAGACCTTATGCCCTCCAGTGGTGCAAAGTGCCCAGGTCAGCCTGTTTGGAGCAGATGTACTGGGGGAGATTCTGTTTCTCATGCTGGATACGGTGCTCAACTGTTGGAGAGACAGGGCAGGCACCATCGGAGCCTTAGAGCAGCAGGCCAGGCTCCCACTGGGACCTGGTTCTGGTTTGCTGCGACCCCCTCAGAGCTGTGACTACACTGTCCCTGCTCCAACATCAGTGCACATACCCTAGGCTGTGTCCCCTTTCACTGGCACAGGGACACAGTCCAGCAGCTGCTTCCTCTCTCTACTGAATCCTCTTGTCAATCCAGGAATGAGCCGTCATTTCTACCAGGAAACACACATCCCATTTGTCCAAATGCCCACCTCTCCTTCTCACTAGAGTTTTTTGGACAGGCAGAGTGGACACTGAGAGAGAGAGACA